TTCCAAGAGGGTGGTCTCCAGGAAACAGACAAGAAGCAAACACAAAAGTGGCCCTGTGGGGTCTGGCACGTGGTGGAGCCCTGCAGCAGGTGAGCGGGTGCAGTGGCAAGCAGAGCTCTGGAAAGAAGCAACTGAAACTCCAGGAAAAACAAAATGCTGTATAACAAAGGAAATGTGGTCATAGACCTCTGCCGTGAATGATATTACATGGTTCACAATAATTGAACATGGAGTGTTAATCTAGTGAAAACAGGGATCTGGTCTGTTGGGAAGAGGCTGGGAGGGCAGGAGGCACTGTTGTGGGGTAGCAGTAGGTATGGAGCTGCTGAGGAATAGAGAAGCCTTGCCCAGCTGCGCTCGGGAGTGGGCTGGGGGACCAGGGCCCTTGGGAGATGGGGAAGGGGAGGACCAGGGCTGGGGCCAGGAGTGCGGCTTTGAATGGTCGCAGCTGGAGTGCCTAGACAGTAGTGTCAGCATCCAGGGGTGGTGGGCTACAGCCTAGGAAGGAGAGCAGGGCATCAGGGGCTTTGGGAGCTTGGGGAGAGCAAAGCCACCATGCCAACATGGGTCCCCACAGTGGCTTCTGGAAAGGCCACTCCATAGCCCCTATGACCTAGCATCTGCGCTCACTGAGGTCCCCATGAGGTCACCTGTGGTCATCTGGGTAGGGTCAATTTGCAATGGGTGAGAGAGAGGCAGCCAGTCCAGGCAGGCAGAGTGCTGCCCACTCAGGGCTATGTGGGGTGGGCTCAGAAGGGGGAGCTCGCTGCTGCCCACACAAGGGGAGCCATTTGAGTCACCCTGGTGATTCCTGGCCTCTCCTGAGCCTCAGTTTCCCCATCCATACAAGGAGTGCCACTATGGCTCTGAGGTCTCATCCCAGAGAGAAGTGGTGGCTGAGGGCCAGAGGAGCCTGTCCTGGGGCTGCTGCCTGGTGTCTGGGCCGCCCATGCCTGTGGGACCAGGAAGCAAGTTGTTTTTGGGTGGAAGCCCTGTCTTTGCCCTCAACAGGCAAAGGGACAAAGGAACAGGCAGCCCTCTGCCCTGCAGCACGGCCACTGCTGACTCAGTACTGGTCTTTTCCTTGCCCTAGCACAGGAAGAAACCATATTTAAATGGAGGCAGCCCACACACCCATGGAACAAGCCTGGCTGGGGCCGGACAGATGAGGGTTCAATAACATCCATTTGAAGTCAACCTGCTAGCCTCTTCTGGGCACCAGGCATGGGGATGGGAGCCTGGCTGGTTCCATGGCAATTGTGGGCAGGTCCCTACACCTCCTGAGCCTCAGTTTCCACACCCAGAACATGGGGCTGTGGAAGGGAGCCCTGCTGCAGGGGGAGCCCAGCAGGCTTGTCAACACAGGCCTTAGTCCGTTTTCTCTGCCATCGTGGAAGACCACAGATGGTTCTGGAGGCTGGAGGTCCAAGAATGTGGCTCTGGGAACTGGGCAGTTCTTACTCGTATCCCATGGCGGAAGGGTCGGAGGGTGAGAGCCCGTGTGAGAGAGCTAGCTTACATAGCTGACCCCGCGCGCGCAACAACAGATTCATCCCCACACTGGTCCTGGGCAGTGCCGTGTGGGGACACACGTGTAGGCAGGAGGTTCTCCCTGAAGTGGGAGAGTCCGCCTCTGCATCTCTGCCTCCCGCCACTTTCCCCTCCCTCAGTCTGGGGTGGCTTTTTGGGGGGTGCCTGTGACTCCTCGGCCACACCTCCACAGACAGACGGGCACCAGCAGACTCAGCAGGCCTTGGGGAGAAGGTACCGAGTCTGGGAGCAGGGCCACTGGAGCAGATCCCCAGGCGTGGTCTGTGGTCTGGACAAGTTGTGACTTCTTGGCCCCACGGACTTCCTGCCCCATAGGGAAGGCCGGGGTTGGGGGCCCAGGACCATGTGCTCTAGCCCCGCCTGGTGTGGGCCTCCGTACACCACCCATCCTGACCTCAGCCCATCCGGGAACCCCTCAATGCCCAGCACATCTCTCCCTTTACCTTCCTTTTCCTCCTTGAAAAGTGCCCTTCACCCCACCACCACCCCTCTGCTCCTTCCCCCCCGCAGCTGCAGGAGTCAGGCAGCTCTGCCCCCAGCGCCCCCGGGGCCCAGCTGGACACTTGACGCTGGCATCGTGAGGGCTGGCCCTCGGCTTCCAGTGGCCAGATTCTTCAGTATTAAAATGTTTAAAATAGAAAGCTCATATAATTTTGACAAAAATAACATTTTGGGTTTGAGTCTCTTTTAAATTTCTATACTAATTTCAGCTCTTCTTGGGGTTAAAAGACCCTTACCAACTAGGAAAGAGTCACACCCCTGACACAGAAGTGAGGGGGGTTGTGTGGCTGCTCCCCGACACCAGCTGCAGGATGCTGCGAGGTCACGAGGTCCCCAAGGCCACCCTCACATCTGACGGTTCTCCAGGACTCATAGGACCCACCTCGAGCTTTATACTCACAGCTACAGCTGCTTACAGGGGAAGGATGCAGTGTAGAACCAGCCCAGGTCAGGGGTGCATGGGGCAGAGTCCAGGAAGGTCGCAGAGCTTCCAGGTGTCCTCCTCCCACCAGGTTGTAGGATCCTGACAGCCTTACCTCCCCTGGCCAGACTGTGTGCCAACACGCATGGCACTTGTGTCTTCCCTGGTCTCTGTCCCCAGGTAGACAAAAACATTCTTAGCAGGCAGAATATTCCAGGGTGTAGTGATGACTTCCCAGGCACGAGGGCACAGACCAGACCCCTTGTTGGGCAAGGTTAAATTCTTTGTGCACACCACCCTGAACAATTTTCCGTGTGGCCTCTGTCCACTGGCTGTCCGCCAAGATCCTCCCTCCTTCCTGCAAGTGTCCAGGCCCTTTGCACTGGGTGTGGGCTGAGACTGTGTCCCCTGTATAGGTGCCAGTGGTGGTGATGGGGCCCTTCCCGGGCTTGGCCTCACAACTGCATCCTGCCCCTCCCCATCTCTTACCCCTTCCTGCTGGCAGCAGCTCCTCCGCAGGGCAGCCCCAGCATCAAGCGACCAACACAGTGCCCTGGGGTGGCAGAATAATGTGGACAGTCCTGAATGAACAAGCAGAGCCCAGCCACCTGCTTGCCTGAGAGAAGATGACCCACTGCATATGCTGGGTGTCTGTCCCGGCAGCCTCACTTCATGCCCACTCATGTATGTCCTAAGCCCAGCACTTGCTCAGTTGCTGCATTTCTTACCCTCAGGGGCAGCAGCCAGCATGTGACAGTGACCGTGCTGGGTCTGGGACAACTACACTTGGCTGAGCCTCAAGGGCAACAGAGGTGACATTCTGAACACCCACATAGCCCAGCGCCTGCAGCCCTGTGAGGAGGCGACTGAGCCTATGCCCCTGACTCAGGGGCCTTCCTGCAAAACGAGTCTGCAGGGTGAGCCTGCAGGGGTTCCTGGGTGCCCCTGCCCCAGGCTCAATTTTGCTCCCCAACCTGAGGCAAGCACAACCCCTCTCTGTGCCTCAGTTTTCCCACCTTGCTGTGAAGAGGTAAGCGGTCTGTGATACCCAAGTGGGCAGGAGCAGTGAGGGGTGGAGAGGGGCGTGGAGAGGGAACGTCCTGTCCTAGGGACTCAGTGCGCCTGATGCCCACCACCCCCGCTCGCCCTTCAGGTTCTTGGGAACACAAAGACGCAGAGCTGCATCTCACATTACCTGCGTGTTCGGATATCCTGTCTCACAATTACAGGGAGTAACCTTTTATTAAACAGAAAGCACATCTACAGCTTGCGGCTTTCCGTGTGAGCAGTAGTACTCCTGAGAAAATGACTGCCTCTCAGGCAGCACGGTGGGGCCTCAGCCTCCTTGCTCCTGCCAATTTCCTCTCCCCATTCTTGTCAGCAATTTCATTATTTAAAAGAAATACAAGAGAAGAATAGAGTGGAGGCGGCCCTTTCATCATGGAGTGCCTGCTTTGCGCAGAGGGTGACGACATTTCCTGGCGGCAGGTGGCTCTCTTTGCTCAGTCTCCTCCCCTTTCCTGCCCTCCCCAGGCTCCTTGCTGGGCAGGTGCCGCAGTTCGGGCAGGGCTGGGCAGGGGTGCCCATGGCTGCCCTGACACCTTGGCCCAGGACCCCAGCAGCAGAGCAGCCCCGAGGGGCTGAGGGCGCTTGTGGGTGTGATTAACGACCATCATCAATCAGCTGACTCCAAGGAAGGTCATTCTGGCTAAGCTGCAGAGCCTGGTCTGGGCAGGGGAGAGGCCGCAGGAGCAGACCAGAGGCTTCCCTGATGGAGAAGAAACTCCACCTGTGGACGCCAGCACTGGCCGCACCAAGTCATCCCTGCCCCGTGGATTGTGGACTGGCCTAGAGCACCCCACCATGGAGCAAGCCCACCCCTTGCAATGAGTCCCTGTCCCTGGGTGGTCCTGCTTCTGGTACAGGAGACTGACTGGTATGGGGGCCTGGGCCCCTCCAGGCCATCTCTCCCACTCCAGTGTCCTCCTCAAAGGCAGGGCAGGCCAAACTTCTGCAGGGCACCGAAATACCCTCGCTTCTAAGTTCTTGAGCCCAGGCATGGGGAGTACTAGGATGGATCCCATGTTTGGCAGATGAGGAGACTGGCCAGGTCCCTTTGGTTGGGCTCCGATGTGGACCAGGTCCCAGGGCTCCAGGCCCGAGAAGGCTGTGTGGGCCAAGTCCTGCCCTGTATTCCCAGCTGCACATCCCCAGCAGGAGCCACAGAGGGGCAGTCCTCAGTTGGGTGCCACCCCCGTCAATGGCTGCTGCAGGTCTGGGTGCAGGGCCGAGCTAGGCCTGGTGGGCTGCAGGGTTGGGGGAGCCCCAAATTCATTTCCAGCCTAAGGATCCTGGACCCTGACTGACGCTGCCTTGTGGGGTGACAGGCAGTGCTCCCCCATTTCCCCGGGACCCCTCGCTGCATCCATGGGTGTTCCAGGGTCACCCTGTAGGCCAGGAGGCCTCTCTGCAGCTCTTTCCCAGCCCAGCCCAAACCAGCAGAGAAATGGCAACATGAACACTCCAAGAAGTTTCAGTGTTTTATTAACAAAATCTTACAAAAAGAGTCCGTCTTCAGGGAAAGATAGCAGGGGTACACACAGCCTGGCTAGACAGTCAAGGTCTGATCTTGGTGGGGGGAGAGTTGGCCACACCCTCTTGAGGTCCCCAGGGTCTCCCCAGGTCCCTAGGGCTTCCCTGCAGCCTATGCCTATGAGTATGGGTTATGGTTTATGTCAAAAATAAAATCTGGAGGGTGGGGGGCTGGCAAGGGCACAGGGTGGAGGATCTGTTGGAGTCGTCTACAGAGTTGCTTCCCCAGACTCTGGAAACCCCAGTGGACAAGGCAGAAAGAGGAACCCCCAAGCAGGGCCTGCTGGGCTGCAGACACAAGTGGCCCGCACCAGGGTGTTGGTGCTGGGGCAGGTGTGGGGGTCCAGCCTGGGCAGAGTACCTGGAATCGCCCAGGAGCAAAAGCTTCTGGGACCTCCTAGGCAGGGCTTAGGCCGTGGGCAAGAGCAGGGGCAGTGGCCCCAGGCTCAAGGCTCTTGGAGAGCTCTGGCAGAGACAATGGCCACGCAGTGGGCAGGGGTTCCCATGCTGGAGGGAGGTATGGCTCAGAGTAGCTGCCCTCCGACTCCTGCTGCAGTGGCTCTTGGGGCGGGCAGCTGGCGGCCAGCAGGGCGGGCATAGCGGCAGGCCCTGGCCCTCGTGCTGGCCTGTCTTCACCACCAGCTCTCGGGGCTGAGCTGGGGATGCTGCCTCGGCCACAGCTGCTTCTTGTCTGCAGCCTCCCTCTCTCAGCTGTCCTGGGACTTCTGTGCAGACAGTTTGCAAGATGAGAGGGCAGTGGCAGTGCCAGACACAGCAGCAAAGACTTTGTGGGAGTCTTGAAACCTGCAAGAGTGAGGAAGAAATGGGACAGTTAGGGACAGTGTGAGGACAGCAGCCAGGGCACCACAGGGAGGGGCTGGGGCTGGACTGACAGGGTTGCTCTCGGCCTGGCCAGAGCATTGGATAGTGGCCTGGGGCTGGGGAGGAGCTCTTCCTCTTCAGGACAGCTGAGGAGTGGATCTGGTGGGAGGGATGGCACTCCATTACCTGTTGTCACTCTCCTGGCTCCGAGGGTGCTGAGGGTGCCGGCTGCTGCCTCAGCCGGATTTGAGGACTCAGCCCCTCTGGGACCCTCTGCCTGCCACGGTGAGTCATCAAGCCAATCTCTGCTCCTTCTCCAGGCTGGCATGAATCACTGGTGCTGGGGCGAGAGAAAGTGCGGGTCCCTGTGAGAGGTGGCTCAGCAAACTCCCCCAGCCCTGCCTCCCACCGCCCCCCTCCTTGACCTCTGTCTCTCTACTCCTCCCCCCTCCACAGCACCATCCCCACCCCTTCCCTGCTAACTTGCTGGGGGTGCCTTTGAGCCTCAGTGGGCCCACCTGGAAAATGGCCTCTGGGCCCTGTGCCCTCCCAGCTCTAAGAGGCCCATGGGTGGGTGGTGCCCTGGGGCAGAGGCTTACCTGAGGGCCAGGAGGCACCAGGACGTCCGGGCTGCTGCTGCTGCTGCTGCTGCTGCTGCTGCTGCTGCTGCTGCTGCTGCTGCATATGCGGCTTTGGCTCTCCAGGGAGGAGGGAGCCAGGCTGCCCGGGGCTAGCCAGCTGCCCTGGCAGGCAGGGAGGGCGCTGGCTGGCTCTGGTGATGCCAGGAGAGGGTGACAGTGCCGGAAACTGAGGTTCCCTGGGCACTGGTTATGCCTTAGCTTCCGCTCTGGGGTGTCCCAGAGCATAGTGCCCAGAGCATAGTGCCCAGAGCATAGTGCCCAGAGCATAGTGCCCACTAGCCACAGCCGTCCAGACACTTGGTTTTCTGAGTGTCCAGAGGGCCCAGGCATTGAAGCAGAATGAGGAAGCTGGGGATGTTCTGTCGTGGTCTGAGTGTGGAGGGTGGGCCAGGACTGAAAAGACAGACGGAGGGGAGGGAGAGGGGCAGAGCCCTGCAGGGGAAAGGGGCTCCTTTGCTGTTTGGGGCACTGCCCGCATCTGGATGGCATGTGTGTGAGAGTCAGAGTCGGGCTGGGAGGCCGAGCAGGGCACCCAGCAGGACAAGAGCTTCCCCTGCAGGAATCAGCCCCAGCTCAAAAGTCCCGGCTGGCAAAGGCCACAGGCTGGTGTGGCGGGCAGGCTGGGGGCTCCGGCCGCCCTCTATTCGGGCTGGGTCCGGTCACTGGCTACAGAATCATTGGTGAGGGCAGGCGTGACAGCCTCAGACTCGTCCTCAGTGGGGACATGAGGGCCAGCCGGCTCGGCCGCCTGCTCCAAGCCACCCTGCACCTCCATGCCCCTCTGAATGAGCTGCTCCAGGGTCTTGGGCAGTGGGTGGCGCAGAAAGCGCTTGAGCTTGGGCTGCAGGGTGCCCACCACATACTGGATGATCTCCTCCTCATCAGCGTCCACGTACAGGGTCTGGTACAGGTCCCGCTTGCGCCACAGGAACTGGTCCAGTGGCTCACCCTGCTTCTGCGGCAGGTCCAGCTCACGCTGGATAGCCTCCCGGGAGAGTGTGCCCTCGCTGTACTGCAGGAACTCCTTCTTGAACTCCACCCAATTCTTCACCGAGCCCTGCTTGAACTCCCACCACTTCTTGGCTGGCCCGTTCATGTGGTTCTGGATCTGTGACAGCCAGTACTCTTCAGAGCCACCTACCTGTCGCAAGTATTCTTCCAGGTGGCTCAGGAACTCTCGAGGGTCCTCGAAGATCTGCGTGTCCACACCAGGGCTCGGCTGCCCATCCTCACCTGGCCCCCACGGTTGGTACTGCTGGGCCTCGGCTGGCTCCTGCCCTGGCAGTTCGCCGGCAGCTGGTGGCGGGGTGATGGCGTAGGGGCTAACGCTGTAGTCATAGCCATCAGCCTCCTGGCAGTAGCTCTCAGGACCCCCCACACCCACGGAGACGGTGTGGCGGGCTGGCTCGCTGCCCACAGGGTACTTGCCGCCCATGGATTCCAGGCGGTCGGCCCAGCGCTCCAGGCGGTAGAACACCTCCCGCCACACGTGCATCTCCCGCTTCACCCAGCGCTCCAGGTTGGCGATGGTCTCCTGGCAGCGGCACAGGCAGGCCTTGATGGACTTCTTCCAGCGCTGCGAGTCGCTGGTGGGCACATAGCCGTCCAGGTTGTTCTCCAGCTTGCCCACCGACCTGTGCAGCCCCTTCAGCTCACGCTCCACTTGCTTGGACACCTCGGTCAGCAGGTGCCGGTGGGTCCTCCGCACATGCTCCAGCATCTCGGCCCGGCACTTACCGATCTGCAGGATCACGTTGGGCTTGGCCACCTGCCCGCCCCGCAGCCCCGGGTAGGCATGGAGCCCGCCGCTTGTCATGTGGTCCAGCTCCATCTGCTGCAGGTGGCAGGGCGCTCCGGACAGGCGGCAAAGTCCTCTTGGGGCAGACGGAGGTTGCTAGCTGCCGGCGGTGCCTGGGTGGCCTGGGTCCGCGTCTGTCCCAGTTGCGTCCGGGATCGGTGCGGAGCTAAGGGCGCGTCAGTCTGTCGCGGCAGGGCCGGCTCCGCTGCTGAGAAGGACTCGGCACCAGAGCTCTGCGCTGAGCCGCAGCCGAGGGCTCTTTATGCAGCCAGCGCGGGCCCGTGGGCGGCCCCCTCGCGGCGCCGCGGCTCCCATTGGCCCAGCGCAGGCACCCGCCAGCGCCCCGCCCGCGCCCCCCGCAGGCCCCGCCTCTCGCGCCCACTCGCGGGCTCCCTCCCTCTGCACACCAGCGGGCGGGGTGACTAATCCCTGCGCTCGCGCCGCCCACCCCAGCACTCATTCAGTCTGCGGGGACAGGAGAGACCGTGCTGCAGACCAGCGAGCACCCCACCCCGTCCCCTGGCCAGCGCTGCACAGCGAGGAGGAAGCCCAGGCAGGTTATCTGCGGCCCTCCCCCAGGGTCTCACTCGCCCTTCTTTCCTAAGGGGGGTGGCGCTGAACACTGCTCTCCTGGGTCCTCACTGCCCCTCCCCCTGCTCCTGCCTCGTCCAGCTTTGCTGGATGGTCGGCAGCACAGAAAAGCCCTGGCTAGGACCCTCCTCCAGACCCCTTGCCCTGGCTGAGGGTTCCAGTGAGTCCACATACACACACACCCAGGGAACCCCAGGTGTGAGTTCCCAGATGTGCCTTTGAGCTCCTGACTACTCTTGAGTCCAGGTCCTGGGCTGGTCCTCCTGCACTTCGTGTGGGGGATGTGCACCCAGGGCCAGGCTCTGCCCTGGTCCCTGGCATTGGTGTGAATGTGTGACACTTGCCCTGTGGCAATGGCTGGGCAGGACTGCCTGGTGCCCAGGTCTTTAGACTTCTCTGTGTCTCCAGGGAGACCTGGCAGCTGCTTCTTGGGGAGTATGGGGCTGGAGGATATGGAGGGGTCACCTGCCCCCCCACCACCATGCCCATGGAAGGACACTGGGCCTGAACCCCCAGGCTATAGCAGGAACCTGTCCAGAAGCTCTAGGACTTCTAAGAAGATGGAGAGAGGAGGGAGGAAGGGAGGGAGGAGGAAAGGAACGGGGAGGAGGGAAGAGGCAGGGAGGAGGGAGCAGGAGGGGGTACGGCAGGCACAGTCAGGAGAGGCAGAGGGAAGCACAGTACCATATAAGGAATGGGGCTCCGGAAGCTGAGCTCCCCTGGAAGGGAGGCCCCTTCAGCCTCTCTGGCAACCTGGTGGGGGAGGGACGCCCTTCCTGGGTTACTCCATTCTGGCTGGCTGGGTGGGGGTCTCAGTCCTCCGATGTTATCTGGGCACAGGTAACACACACCACTGCCCACAGTCAGAGGCACAGGGACACAATGACAGTCAAGACACCTTACCCCCGCTGCCAATCTCCCTCTCCTTCTCTCAGACACATGCGGGCACACACTGCACACTCCCAGTGCACACTCATACCCCTCAACACTCATGCCTCCAACACACTCAGGCCCCCACGCACACACTCATGCCCCCCACGCACACACTCAGGCCCCCACGCACACACTCATGCCCCCCACGCACAGCCCCCTCTGTCTTGTTCAGGCACTCAAGAGCACACAAGCACCCACACTGCCTGGAATCCCGCTCCCTGCCCACCTCTCAGAGCCCCTCCCCCTCTGCTCTCCTGGGGAGCCCCCCCCCCCACACCAGAGCCAGTCGGTCCCCTCCTTCCTCCCTCCTGTTCCTAGGAATGTCCTTCTGGCAAAAACTCCCCCAAAATGGCTCTCCTGGCATTTCTAATTAAAGGCAAGTGGGCGGACAGAGGAGGGAGGGCGGAGGGGAGCAGGGAGGGGAAGCCAGGCAGAGAAGCCTCCGCAGGGACCACCCCAGCCTTCCCACTGCGGAATCCCGGCACAGGAGGCTGCTGGGGCTCCTGGTGCTGTGTGCGATGCCCTGTCGGTGAGTGTGGCCCAGCAGCTAGCGCACCTGTCAGGTCACCGTGGGCTGCGCGTGTGTTGGGGCGAGCGTGCCTGTGGCGGCAGAGGTCAGTCTGACGAGCTAGCTGGGCACTGCCCGTGCATGTGTGTCCGTGAGTGTGAGGGCCAGCTCTTCAGTGACCAGGGGCAGCTCTGCCTGTGGTTTACAAGGCCATGTGGCTTCTGAGGGCCCATGACTAGCTGGTGGCACTGCCAGGGCTTGGCTCTCAGGCCTCTGGCCAGCAGTGGCCTCCAGCTTGCCCTACCCCCATCCAAGGCAGCAGCAAACTGAGAGGGCTTCAGGGTGGGGGGCAGAGAAGGAGGTGGGACTGGAAGGGATGCCTGAGCTAAGGTTGGAGATTGTAACCTGAGAGTGACAGCATGAGCTCGCATTGCCACACGGTCTGGAAGGCCAGCGTGTGTGGCCAGCGTGTGTCAGACCCTGTGTGTGGAGTGCCAGGCCTAGAGAGGGCACAGGTTCCCAAGGTGTCCCAGCAAGCAGGACAGGTTTGGGCAGACCAGAGCCAGACCCTTGATGGGGAATCCTGATGCCTCCTCAATACCATGGCCCCCTCACCACCCCCTCTCCTATCACCTGCTAAAGAGCAAGATGTGGCCTGAAAGAACACAGGCCTGCTCTGGACAGCGTGGGGTAGATGCTGGGGGTGGGTCACATGGACCCCTGCCCTCCCTGCCTGGCAGGGTTTGTACAGAGGCTGTGAACACGGCTGGCAGAGCTGACAGGTGACAGGCAGCAGCCACTGCCACCGGGAACACTTAATCGCTGCCCAATTATCGCCCCAGAAGCCCTCACCAAACCCCCGCACTGCAGCCTTGGGCTCCTTCTTCCGCCTCCAGAAAAGAGGCCAGGCTGGCTCCCAGCCGCTGTGGGGGCCTCTTATTACAGGGCCCTCCCTTCCTTCCCTCCTGTTCCAGTCCCCCACTGCCAGTTCCCTGACAAGCCCCAGCCTCACCCAGAGCAGGGAGGCCCAGGGGTGCAGGTTTGGAAGGGGCAGGTGGACAGGGCCCTGGGGGACCCTCTCGAAGAGCCAGCAGGCCTGCCGCTCCTGTGGCCTGAGTGGGGGAGGGTGGCCCCCCAGGCTGAGATCTGGTATTCTCTGGTAAGATACCTATTCCAAAGAAGGTCTCTCTCCCAAATGCATCCTTTGCCCCACTTTCCGGCTCCAGCCTTGGGCCTCTCTGACCCCCCTGCTCAGCCTGGGGATGGTGAGCTCCCCCCCCCCAGCCATTTTTAAGACTCTTCTGCAACAGCGTCCTTTCCACACAGGGTCACACCTGCCTCCGGGGATCCCTCAGTGCTGGCCCCCAAGCTCCTGCAGCCTGGGCCCCACAGGTGTGTGGGGTCCCACTCAGCAAGGGGGGGGCCCATGCCCTGAGCCTCGTGCCCTGCTCCTCAGAGGACAGGTGCCCCAAGCCCCTCCCTGGTCCTCTTCCAGGGACATGCCCACCTATCCCTGCTGGCTCAGAGTGTAGGGAGTCGGCCCCCAGCAGGCCCATGGGCCCAAGACACCTCCCGGCTGCCTCACGCCAGTCCTGTGCTGTGAGGCTGCTGCCCCTGCCCTGCTGGTCTCCCAGGAAGGGGGTGGGGGACTCAGCAGTACTGAGTGTGCACCCAGCGGGGCAGAGCTCCCGCCCACACTCCACACTCGCCCATGCACACACACCCGCCAGCACACGCATGTGCCCGCCCACTCTGATCATTGCCATGCACTCCAGGACCCCTGTTGCCATCCTTTGTCCGGGACTGCATGGCTGCCCTTGCCAGGTGAGGAGCTGGCAGCAGGGAAGGGCTATGGGGGCCCCACCATTGGTGACAAACCCTTCTTGTCCCTGCTGCCTGCCCAGCCCAGGTGGTCCAGACGTCCATTCCTACAGTGACCATGCCCCAGTCCTGCTGCCCTGAAGGTGTCCGTCACATGGCCTCAGCCCATTGCCACCCACTGCCCATGGGGCCAAGAGACAGACCAGGCTGCCAGTGTGGGCAGGCTCCTTGACCAGATCTGGGGGACAGCTTCGTGCCATCCCCTCAAGCCAAGTGTCCTTGGCTGCCCAGCCTGGGGTCCTCATGCTATAGGACCTGCTGACCTCTGACCTTGGCCTGCAACCTGCTCTCAGCCCCCTCGCCCTGCTGCTGGGCTCTCAGGCTGGGCTCCGACCCTTGCATTCTCTCTTCCTATGGCCCCTTTGTCCTCAGCACAGAGCAGGGCTTCCCAAGCTGCCCAGTCTGGGTGAGCCCCCCACCCTGCTCTGTCTGGGGCAGGCACCCAGTCTGTGAGCTCACTGGCCCAGAATGCATTGGGCAGGCGTTCAAGGATTCAGGGAAAGGGTGAAGGAGTTGAGCTGCCACCCACTCTTTGCTGTCAGGAGACGTGTGGCAGTTGTTCACTGGAGCCTCAACCTTCCATCTGTAAAATGGGTGACAGTGCAAGGGCCTGGGTGTCCAGTGAGGCTGAGGTGCCCACCTGGTCTGGCCCCAAAAGTCTCCCAAATCATTCAGCTGAGAGCCCCTCCTCAGTGTCACCTCTGGGACATGAGAGGAAGGAGGTGCCCCCTTGGCTCCCCAAGAGAGGGGCTCCAGCGGCTACCCTGTTCTGTCTATTCTCTGCCTCCAAGGCCAAGTGAGCACAGGTCCCAGGGGTGGGTCCTGCTGTGGCTGCATAGGCCCTGGTGAGGCGTGGGGCAGCTGGCAGGGGTGGATCTGGGCTCAGGCAGCTCGCAGGACACCTGGAAACTCCGCTGCCCCTGTCTGCCATCCCTGCTGGGGGGGCCCCTGCAGTGGGGATGGGGGACAGGTGAGGCAGACCAGAGCTGGGGCTGAGGGCCCCAGACCCCTCCCGAGAGCAGGGAGTTGCTCCGCAGGAGGCGCTGGGTCTGGCAAAAGACCATAGGCGGAAAGGGGACTGAGCCTGGAAATCCTGCAGGGAGGAGAGGCTGTGGGCCCTGACTGCTCACAGAGGCACCCCTGCCCCGCTTCCCACAGAGGTCCTTAGAGATGGGGGACTTGCCCCTGGCCACTGAGTGGGCAAGCGACAGAGGCAGGGTCCCTGTCTGTCAAGCTCCCTGCCCGATTTCCTGGCAGCAACGCTGCAGCACCAGACAGCCTCTGAGCAAGGGGGCCGGAGTGGAATAGGGCAGAGGTCTCCGGGGGCCCTGTCAGTGCTGGGCGCTTCTCCCAAGGTGACTCC